ACTTTACGTATGAAATGGACATTAGGGGGCCAGATCTATGGTTTTGAGGTGTTAAGGCCCATTGAAATCGACTGTATAGTATTGCTCAAGGATGGACTCGACGAGTTGTTCTTGGGACTCGACGAGTCGCGGTGTATTGACCACCAAATCCTTTTTGTGGATGGACCAGTTGTTAGGGAGGAAAGTCCCGTAGATGTTTAGACGCGAAAAGGGACCTAGGAATCATGGGCCTCGACGAGTGCATGAGCAGGCTCGACGAGTCCAAGGCAATCTCCCAATCTTTGAAGATGGACTCGACGAGTTGTTCATACAACTCGGCGAGTCGTAGACCGGACACATTCTTTTGAGGGAGATGAACTCGCCGAGTTCAAGGAGGAACCCGACAAGTCGGATGAAGATGGTCCTGATGTTTTGAATGAAGGAGAACCCGTCGAGTCCTTGCTAGACTCGACGAGTGGAGGAAGGGTTGGATCGGGTTAGTGGAGCATGGACTCGACGAGTTGGTAGGACAACTCGGCGAGTCAGGTCAACTGGGTGTTGACTTTGACCAATGTTGACTTTGCCTGGTTTTGGTATTGACTCGGGTTAGGGTTGTATGTTCTGTTTGATGACTTGAGGGTTGTCGTGTAGGGATTGAGGAGTCGAGGAGAGCCGACCTTCATGCCAAGGACAGTTCAGACACTACGCGACATCGAGGGGAGTTACCTTCCAATAGAAGTGGGTCTAAGGCACCAAGGCCGACCCACTAGTGAATGATAGTTGGGACGATTATCTCTGTGATAATTGTCTGGTCTGTTATTGTTGGATATGTGAGTATGCTAGTTTGTTAGATATGTGAGTATGCTAGTTTGCTAGTTACTATGTTATGTGAGATAGTATCGGTAGAAGGGGACTAGTCCCCGATTCGGTCGCTAGGACCAATGGGTAGGTCGGACACCCCAGATATGTCTGACAACATGATTATGATATGATATTATGTGTTAGTAGTAGGGGTGAAATAGTCCCCGAGTTCGGTTGAGATAGACCGGAGGGTAGGTCAGCACCCCAGAATAGCTTGACATGGGTAGGTCAGCACCCCAGAATGGCTCGACATGGGTAGATCAGCACCCCAGAATGGCTTGACATGGGTAGGTCAGCACCCCCAGAAAGGCTTGACATGGGTAGGTCAGCACCCCCAGAAAGGCTTGACATGGGTAGGACGGGCGCCCCAGAATTGCCCGGCAGTATGTATGCTATGTGATTGTATGATATGTGGTATGATGGGGGAACTCACTAAGCTTTGTGCTTACAGTTTTAGTTTTGGTTTCAGGTACCTCTTCGTCTAAGGGGAAGGAGTCGGCGGTGTAGCAGCGCATCACACACACACACACATGGTTTCCGCATGGAGTTTTCTGGGAATGTACTCTGATTTATTTTACTTTTGACGATATGATTTTCAGACACATTGTTAAGTTTCTTTTTACAAATGATATGGCATGGGAAATGTTTTGGTAAACTATGTTGTGAATTACTTAATTAAAAATGAAATTTTTGGGCTTGAAATTTGGGATGTTACAACATACCTCTTACTCAACTCATAAATCTACACACTTTTTTCATAAATCTACACACTTTTTCAATTAGGCTTCAACCCTCAACATTTTACTACATTTTGCTGAGGGCACCAATCCAATAAAAACACTTTGGTTCCCCTTCTCTCATTCCTAAAAAAAATTTCTCTTATTCCTAATTTTCAGAGATTGTTATTTTTAAATTCTACATTTATAGTGTAAAGCATGAGATAAGGTATCCTTCTGTAATTATATAATTATATGGATATTAACTAGGTGAATCTTGTGTGTTGCAAAAAATAAAACAATGTGATTAAAATATTTCCAAATATATGTTATTAAAATAACTATATCCCTTATTAACTTTTTATTAACTTTAAATTAACAATTCTTATATTATTTATTAAAAAACATTCTAATTACTTTAAATATATGATAAGATAGATATATATTAAAACCATATCATTTCAATATCATATATTATAGGTTGCATATGGAAATAAAAATTAATTTACTTTTTAATATATAGTTTTTTGGAAAGTATTTTTTCTCTATGGTTATTTTTAAGGGCAAAATGCAGAAAAAACACAACCATTTATCTATCAGCATTCAGAAAAATCATTATATTATATATATATATATATATAGATATATATATATATATATATATATATATATATATATATATATATATATAGAAAAAGCTTACATTTATAATTACCTTTCACATTAACCTAAATATCATGTTTTTATAGAAATTACCGGGTCTTTTGTGATATTAGATATATCTTTTCCGTTTTTATGTTAACATGAAACAACAATAAATGACGTTGCCTCTTATCTAAGTTAAAACATGCGAAATAGATCATTTACTCAACGGCCAATTACTCATGCAAATATAAGTGACATCGCTTTTTTTCCATGTCAACCTAAAAACGAACAAGATAAATATCATTTCACAAAAAAATCAGTAATTCTTTAAAAAAATAGACATTTGGATAAATCTGAAAGATAACTAAAAATATAACGGTTTTTACGTATATAAACAAAATGTAAGGGTTATCTCAATGTTGGTAGATAAATGGTTATGTTTTTCTATATTTTGCCCTATTTTTAACTATAAACTTTTAATCATTTAAAATAGACATCTTTTATAATCATATCACTTCTGTGTTATCTATTCGTGGTAGCGTGTGAATTTAACATTTTGTTTAATATTTGAAAGTATTTATTATTATAAAAAACAATCTTGATTAACATTTTTGTTAATGATTTAGATTTTATTTTAATTATATATATATATATATATATATATATATATATTTAATTTATTTGAAGTTTGATTTATGTTGAAATTTATATTATATTTAAATTAACAAATTAATAATCATAAAGTGAGGGTTCAAATGATATATATAGATATATATATTATATATATATATATATATATATATATATTTAATTTATTTGAAGTTTGATTTATGTTTGAAATTTATATTATATTTAAATTAACAAATTAATAATCATAAAGTGAGGGTTTCAAATGATATATATATATATATATATATATATATATATATATATATATATATATATATATATATATATATATATATATATATATATATATATATATATATATATATGCTCACTTGGAAAATTAAGCACTCCAAAAGAAGTTATGCTCGATTCAAATATCATCTATTTCAACTTTAGATAATTTGTCGTTCTATAAGAATAATATTAGGGATATCTCCAGAAAAGTCCTAAAATTTTACCCTAATTTACGAAAAAGTCTCAAACTAAATTTTGTTCACGAAAAAGCATGAATTACCGGTAAAAATCGCGATTTGACCATTTTTTTTTTCCGGTTTACCGGTTTTATTACTTACCTGTTTCACTAAAGTCTCATTATTTTACCCTAATTTGCGAATAAGTCCCAAAATAAAATTTACTAATGATTTGATCATTTTCTTCATGTAACATACATTTTATCGGTTTCATTGATGACTTAACCACTTAGTCATTAAATTAGTTGATAAGATGGATACGATGAATTATATAATGCTACATTTACTGTAAAATTTGATATACATCTTATCGGCTCATTTATGACTATGTATCTACGTCAGCAATGAAACCAATAAAATGTGTGTTTCAAAGAAAAAATGACAGAAAATGAGTTGATGTTTGATGAGATGGATATATTGGGTTACATAAGATTAGATAAACAATTTGATATTTCTTATAAACGTAAAAAATAACGCAGTTGTTGTTAGTTTATGTAGTTATTGTAGTCTTCGTTGAATGCATTTTATGTTCCAAAAAAAATACACAATACACCTGGATATCAAGTTTTATGCTAAACATAACATTATATAACTTAACATATCCATCTCATCATCTCATTTAATGACTAGGCGTCTGGGTCAACAATGAAACCGGTAAAATGTATGTTACACAGAGAAAATGGTCAAATCATCAGTAAATTTTATTTTGGGACTTATTCGCAAATTAGGGTAAATAATGAGACTTTAGTGAAACAGGTAAATAATAAAACCGGTAAACCGGAAAAAAAAGGTCAAATCGTCATTTTTACCGGTAATTCATGCTTTTTCGTAAACAAAATTTAGTTTGGGACTTTTTCGTAAATTAGGGTAAAATTTTAGAACTTTTCTGCAGATTTCCCTAATGATTATAAAAAAATTATAAATCAAAGATTGAAATAATATTTACATCTTTTTACATTACTTTATAATTCATTTCCGTTTTCATATATATTTTGGCATTCTCTTTTATATCGAACTCAACTACTACAATACAACTCTTTATACACTTTGGAACCATAAATGTCTTAATATATATTTTCTTCATCTTATTTAGTATTATATGTTTTTCTATCCCAGTAAATATTATTGTCTCGTTACTTTATACTAATGTTAATAAAAATTATAAGGTACATTGTTACTTTAAAATTATTAATTTTCTAGAACTCTTTTAAGATATACATTATAACTTTCTAGTAATAACATATCTTATGTCTGAAGTTAGTTTCAACAATTACCATTATAGATACAAGTTTAGACATAAAAATCAAAAAGTACTTTTGAATTCACAAGTTAAAGTTAGAACTTTTTTCCGAGATCACTATTATCAACCAATATACATCCACAAAAATGTGGCATAAACAACATGATCACATATCTAAAAATAGCTAATGCAATGTGTATTACATGGTTCCCTTGCCTACAAAGGGACAACTTAATGTTTTTCTTGTTGCGTTAAGACTTGATTTTACAAGGTTTACAAGGTGTGACTTGTAATGTCTTTTTGTACATTTTCATGTGATGATTACTCACATGAGTTGTCATCTTCATTGCCCTAGCATCTCTATATAACGAGACTCGTTAAGAGCATATCAGACATACAAAGTACAAACAAAACCAAAAAATGAATGCAACCGCATATCTTGATGCTCTCATAAATGCTCTTAAAGATGTGATGGAACCATTTATACCTACAATCCCTATGGCGGTGTACTTTGGAGCCGATGGGTTGATCAATAGTTGTGAGCTCAAGACCTTAGTTGTTCAAAATGCTCCAAGAGTTGTCATTGGTGGTCAACCTAATGAGCTCTACACCTTGGTTATGATCGATCCAGATGTGCCAAACCCAAATGCGCCACACCTCAGCCAACTCGTATCATGGTTAGATGTTTTTCATTTTTTTGCCATTTTTCTTCGGTCAAACTATGATTTTTTTTTCCAATGTTTCATTTTATGTTTCCCGGAATGTTTCCTGACACGTGGTTTGTGTTTTAGCATTGTGACCAACATTCCTGGTGGGGCATCATGTGCGCAAGGTAAAAATGTTGCTCCGAAATGAATTTTTCTTCATGTTTATGCATTTTTCGTAGTGTCCATCATATATTTCTTTCTATCGTTTTTAGTCTTGCTCCTCTTTACATGCAACTTTGGTGTTTATATCAGTTTTTTTTTTTTTTTTTTTTTTTTTTTTTTTTTTTTTTATTCAGACGCCACACTTTATATTTCATTGTGGACTCATGTTTCATGTGTAGTAGATACTACACTTAGGCAACTACAATATTTTCTTTTTTATTGGAGGTCCTATTTAGAAATAGTCTCTCTACATACCATAGGATATTTGTTGGTTGAATACATTTTACATCCCTCTTATCGCATTCATGTTGTTGACGCTTACAATAAATTGTTTATATATGTAACAGGAACTGAAATTGTGTCATATGTGGGACCCAACCCTCAAATTGGTGTCCATCGATACATACTTATTTTATACCAACAGCAGGCGCGACTAGATGATATAGACGCAATTGAGTCTCGATTTTTCTTCAATGTTAATGGTTTTGCCAACATGCACAACTTGGGAAACCCTGTAGGGTTGTCATATTTTAATGTTCGAAGGCAAGCTAATGGAAGGAATGCAATTGCATGATTAATTCGTCTTATTTCATTCTATGTTATTTTATGTTTGAAGTATCCTTTCGGTTGTTGTTGAATTGTTGTTGCTATGTTATGTCGGTTATTATGCATATGTAATGATGATTTTCCGTATTAAATAAAAAAGTGTTATGTTTGGTTGTCGATAATCAATGATTAATAGAAAAGGGCCTAGAAGGAAAATGAGTTTTGGGTTTAGATTAATTTTAAACATATGAACGCTTAAGGTATACACTATACACACGGGTTTAACTGGATCTAACATCCTCCATTGCAGCAACTACACTATCAAACTTAGCTCCAGTGACTTCTTTTAGAATCTTACCATGTTTAAGAATCTTGAAGGTAGGTTCCATCTTTATGCCTAGCTCCTTTTCCAATGGCTGCCAAAATTTCAAATTTTAACATTTTTGTTCAATTTTAATCTAATTAACCAACATAATAAAACAGAATGTTGAACAGTTTGATAAAAAGAATGTTAATGGTCTCAATGATTGTTGATGATTTGTTTTAGATAGTTTGAATGTAATTTGATATAAGAATTCAAGCTTGTGATCTTATTGTTTGAATGTATAGTTGGAAAAAAAAAACAGTTTTTATTGGCTATTATGCAAAGATGTTTCATGACTAAAAAGGTTAACAAATTAAACATCCATATATATTTAAAAATAATAAGCATATATACCTTATTTTCTTGATTGTAATCGAGCTTTAGAAAGACAACATCAAGATACTTCTCAGCCAATTCTTGGAATTTTGGAGCTATAATCTTGCAAGGACCACACCTATTACAACAATATGTTATAACAATATCAATAAAATAAATACTTTTAACTGAAACCGTTAACAAGCACGGAGTTTAAAATATTCAACATTCAAGTTGGTAACAAACAATAACTCAGCTGTACCATAGTTGACTTTTTCTTAAGAAAAAGGTAAGCACGGATTCTATGTCAAATGGAAGATGGCATGTAAAGATTTTCCCAATTTGTCAAATTTCAATGTTGGATCCTACTCCAATGATATTCAGAAGTCAAAGATTAACTCTTTTTTCGGGTGAAGGGGGTACCTTAGAATGTGTACACGAAGTGAGAGACACTCAAATTAACTGCAATAAACAAGTACTGATCGATGTTTTTCGATTTGTTGGTCTTAAGGCATTTCAATTATGTTTATAAGTACAAATAAGCAATAGTTTCTTCAAATTTTTACAATCTTAATTACCAAAATAAAGTCATAGTTTCTTTAGTCTTAATAAATAGTCTTCATGTTTAAGTCATGTCTGATTTTAAGCTAAAGCCCAAGAATTGATATCATATGCATAATTTATCTTTATATTTAAAGTGGTTACAAAAAATAATGTGATAATGTTATTATTAGAAAATTTAAATACGATTTTATATATTTAAAATGTTTTTTGAATGAAAAGTTAATAAACGATATTTGTTATTTGTTAATATGAACATTCCAAATTTCTTGACAGAATTACTACTCAAACAAATTTATGCAAAAGAATGGGATTAAATTTTATTTCATTTTTTTGTAAACCAATCTTTCAAATCAAATTTTCAATTGTTCCATGGCGGTTGAACTTTGGAGTCTTTGTGTTGGATGGTGGGATGTGGATATGCCAATTTCCTTCTCTTCTGAGATAAGGAAAAGGAACTGTTACCTACTACGGTACCGGAATGAATATGATCTTCACGTTTCTCTTCCTTTACATATTGGACAGATTGACTCTCGTCTCTAAAGATGTCGTATCTGGCACAAAAGTGTTTGGCTTACGACCGCAAAACAATATGTAAAAACTAAAGGCCCCCTTACTTAAAAAATAAATTAAAAAAAAAAAAAAAACTATTTGGTATCGACTATCTATCGTTTTGTAGTTTCTCATTTTTTTTTCTGGGTTACAAATAGGAAAACTGAATGGTGTATTAGTTGGGTGGGGTGGTTAAAGAATTTCATCATATATATTTCTTCTTTGTAACTTTGCGAGTTTTGCTATTTTTTTTATAATATGCAACTATCTAAAAAAAACTTTCTTATCATTTGAAAGATTCTAATCCTTCCAAAATAATATGTAAACTAAATGCGACCATATTAAAAATAACATGATAGAACAAAATATTATTTTTAGTTGCATATTACTATTTCTTATAAAGAATTATAACCGAGCAATTTAAAAGAATACCAATAATTGATCTATTCTTTTTACATGCATGGTAGGTTTTTAATGAGAGATGAAAATTTTATTCGGTTTTTTTTTTTTTTTTTTTTGTATTCGTTAGTGGAGAGCTACAGTTTCTCTAAACACACTTAGGGTTTCCATCATAGATATCTTTCATCTCTCTTATTCCTAACTGTATTGTATTCCGTTTTTAAAATGTTAATAGTAATAACTGAAAACATGATAAAAATAGACTGTATTTTTGCATGCATTCCTATGTATGTGTTTGGCCATTTCCCTATGAAATAGGACGCACCTGGTGACCCAAGTACTTAAACCCAAAAAACAAACTACTTATTTTTCATGTTGCAGCTTTGAAGTACCTCCAAAATTCTCTCTGAAAGGAATGGTGGAAGGATAAAATATACCGTTTTTGCTTATAGGATAAAAGATGTTCTTATTTGGTACATTTAACACAAGATATTGTTGAGAAAATGCATGATTTTTGCAAGTTTTTGAATAAGAAAATCAAATTTGTGTAAGAACTCTTACAAAAAATTTGACGGTTTGGCAGGAGCGCCTGCCAAAATGTGATATTTTCGTAAAAGCTCTTGCCAAAAGTGACATTTTTGCAAGGATTACTACTAAAATATGACATTTTTCGCAAAGATCCAAGCCAAATATGACGTTTTCATAGAAGCTCCTATCCAAATTTGACATTCTCGTATTTGGTTCAACGTTGATGGTTTTGCAAACAAGCGCAACTTAGGAAACTTGGTTGGGATTGCTTATTTTAATGTTCGAAGCCAAGCTAATCGAAGGGAATACTAGAGAATGATTAATTCATCGTATTTTATTCTATTTTATTTTATATACCAAGTCTAATTCCGTTTATTGTTATGGTTTATCAGTTATTATGTGGTTTAATGATAATATTTATGTATTAAATACAGTTCTTTTTGTTTGGTTGTCTAGAATCAATATTTAATAGAAAACTTATGAGAAAATGAGTTCAGGGTTTAGAGTAATTTAAAATATATGAATAGTTAAGATACACACATGTGGTTTAATTAGAGAGGGCTAGGGTTTCTCTAAACGCATTTAAAGTTTGTGTCACAAATAATTTTTTCTCTCATTCTTTGTTCAATTTTTTCTAACAAGAAACTCACATACCTCTTACTCAACTCATAAATCTACACACTTTTTCAACGAGGCTTCAACCCTCAACATTTTGCTACATTTGGCTGAGGGCACCAATCCAATAAAGACACTTTGGTTCCCTTTCTCTTATTTCTAATTTTGTTTTTCTCTTATTCCTAATTTTCAAAGATTATTATTCTTAAATGCTAGATGTTATGGTTGAAAGCATGAGATAAGGTGTCCTTCTGTAATTATATAATTATATGGATATTAACAAGGTGAACGATGTGTGTTGCGAAAAATAAACAATGTAATTAAAATATTTCCAAATATATGTTATTAAAATAACTATATCCCTTATTAACTTTGAATTAATGATTCTTACACTATTTATTAAAAAACATTCTAATTACTTTAAATATATGATAAGATATATATATATATATATATTAAAACCGTATCATTTCAATATCATACATTATGGGTTGCATATGGAAATAAAAATAAATTTACTTTTTAATATATAGTTTTTTGGAAAGTATTTTTTATATATGGTTATTTTTAAGGGCAAAATGCAGAAAAAACACAACCATTTGTCTATGAGTATTCAGAAAATCCCTTATATTTTATTTATATATAGAAAAACCTTACATTTATAATTACCTTTCACATTAACCTAAATATCACGTTTTTATAGAAATTACTGGTTCTTTTGTGATATTACATTTATTTTTTTCGTTTTTATGTAACATGAAAACCAAAAATAAGTGATGTTACCTCTTATCTAACTTAAAACAGGAGAAATGTATCATTTACTCAACGACCATTTACTCAAGCAAATATAAGTGACATCATTTTTTTTCCATGTCAACCTAAAACCGAACAAGATAAATATCATTTCACAAAACAATCGGTAATTCTTTTCAAAAAATAGACATTTGGGTAAATCTGAAAGGTAACTGAAAATATAACGGTTTTTCCGTATATAAACAAAATATAAGGATTATTTGAATGTTGGTAGATAAATAGTTATGTTTTTCTATATTTTTTCCCTATTTTTAACTATAAATTGTTAATGAGTTAAAATAGACATCTTTTATAATCATATCACTTCAGTGTTATCTATTCGTAGATTGCGTGTGTGAAAATAACATTTCCACTTATGTTTAATATTTGAAATAATTTATTATTATAAAAATAAATATTGATTAACATTTTTGTTAATGATTTAGGTTTTATTTTTAACATTATATTTAAAAAATTTAACTATTTTAAATCATAATCTTTAGATATATATTTTTTTAGATTTATTTGAAATTTTGATTTATGTTTGAAATTTAATATTATATTTAAATTAAGAAATTAATAATCATGTGGGTTTCAATGCTATATATATATATATATATATATATATATATATATTCTATATCTATATATCTATATATCTATCTCTACTCTATCTATATTAAGCTAACTATTATTAACCATTGAAAAATCATAAACCAGTATTTAGGATGCTCACTTGGAAAATTAAGCACTCCAAAATGAGTTATGCTAGATTCGAATATCATATATTTAATTTTAGATAGTCTATCGTTCTATAAGAATAATGATTATAGAAAATATATATAAATGAAAGATGGAACTAATATTTACATCTTTTACATTACTTTATAATTCATTACGTC